ACACAAGTCCTTGGGGCCTGCAATTGGGACCAGAGGAAGGCCTTCTAACAAAAGAGAAAAAAAAAAAAAAACATTTATAAGTTGAATTTTTCTGGTTGAACCTTTTGATAAAGTTCCACTGAAGCAATATGCTCTTTGCAAAAGCCTACCTTTTATCATCTTAGTTGTATTATCTGGCCTTAGAACTTGAGAAATACTGATCTCAGTCATGCTTCAAAGTTTTTTATTAATGACCTGGAGGCAATGTCATCTTCCTTTTATAGGTAAAGAAATTGAAATATAGAAAAGTTAAATAATTTACCAAAGTCCTCTTGCTTGCTATAGTTGGAAGACTAGGGACTGAGCTAAATGTTGCTGATTACACACTCCATCCTCTTAGCCACCAAGATGTGACTGTCATGTAAGGCCAAGCAGGTTGTTGGGTTACTCAAAGCATGTTATTTATGATCTCAGTTCCATGTTCTTTCCATTATTCTAAACTGTTTCAATTGCTTGGATTTTAAAATTTATTTTAATTTGTCTTTGTTATTTAAAAATTTTTTAATATTCTGTGTATGAGTTTATTGCCTGCATGTATATAGGTGCACCATGTTCATGCAATGCCTGAAGAAGCCAGAAGAGGGCATTGGATCCCCGGGAACTGGAGTTATAGATGGTTGTTAGCCACCATGTGGGTGCTGGGAATTGAACCTGGGTCCTCTGCAAGAGCAGCCAGTGCTCTTAACTGCTGAGCCATCTTTCCAGCCCCACTTTATCCTTTAATAATGGAAAATTTTAAATATATACAAATATAGAAAGTATAATGAATTCCAATATTGATTTTTAATTATTAATCATGATCGTTTCAGTTATAGTTCCCTATACTCTTTCTCTGCCTCCTTCACCAATATATTAAAGCAAATTTATATTGCACTAAATCCAAATTTTCATATCATTTGGTCTGTAGATTTTCCATTTGTATTTAAACTTTAAAAAAAATGGGCAGAGGGCATCAGTGATAAAGTATGCCTAAGCATGCCTAGGAGGCCCTGGGTTTAATCCTCAGAAAAACACACACAAATAATAATAACAACAACTACTACTACTACGGTATTGTTATCATTTCTTTGAAAACATAATATTCTGTTAATATCTAGTTATTTTAATTTCTCGTTTCATAATCCTTTGTTTTTTTCACTTGGATCAGGATCCAAGTGAGATACATATATTGCAGTTGGTTATGCCTTTTAAATATCTTTTATCTATAGACTTTTGTTGTTATGCTTGTTTTTTTATTATCTTTGTGTGTGTGTCTGTGTGTAGGTATGTGGATTGAGTGCAGATATCTGCAGAGTCCAGAAGAGAATGTCAGATCCCCTGGAGCTGAAGTTACAGGTGGTTACAAGCCATCTGACATGGGTGCTAGAACTTGGGGCCTCGGCAAAAGCAGCAAGCGTTCTTAACTGTTTAGCCATCTCTCCAGCCCTGTTGTTATTTTGTTTGAGACAGGTTTCATTCTATAGCTGAGGCTGGCCTGGAGCTCATTGTATAGCCCAAACCAGCCTTGAACTGTTAATAGTCCTCCTGACTCAGCCTCCCAAGTACAGGGATTATAGGCATAAGCCACCATACTTACAGTTACTTTGGTGAATCAATTTAGCCACTTATTCTGTTGGGTTCTCCATAGTTTAAACTTTGCTCTTCACATCTCTGTGGTATCACTTAATGTGTTACTCTTTCCTGTGTTTCTTAGTAATTGGTAGTTTGATTTAGAACAGAGCTATCTAGTAGTTCTTTCTACAGTAATGAAAATACTCTCTGCTCACACATTAGTCTCTAGGCACGTGTGCCAAGAGAATTCTTGAAATGTGATTAAGGAGACTAGAACTGAAACTACAGTTTTAATTTTTGTATCAAATTCACTATGCAGCCATGTATGGCCTCCTATTCCCAAATGCTGGAGTTGCACCCATGTGCCACCCACACCCAGTATAACTTTTTCCTTGATGTGTGTTAGTTTGTGAGTGACAGGGTCTCATTCTGTAGCCCATCCCAAGTGCTGAGATTACAGGCTGTTTAAGTCTAAATAGCCAAACTTCATTTACGGCTGCCTTATAAGATAGAGCTAGACACTTGATCAGACTGGAAGGGGTTTTTTTTGTTTGTTTTAGTTGTGTTTTTTGTTTTTTGGGGTTTTTTTTTTTTTTCCCTTTGGTCTGTTTGAGACAGGGTCTCCCTGTAGCCTCAACTGGCCTGGAGCTGGCCTTGAATTCACAGGGATCCACCTGCTTCTGCCTCCCAAATGCTGGGCTTAAATGCTACCACTCCTGGCTTGTTCAGACTGAAAGTTTTATTTTTTGTTTTGTTTAGCAAGTCTTCCCCATAAATAATATTGTATCTAGTTGTCCTTTTGTGAGGTTTATTAATAGTCACTGCTGACAATTGCCTAAATACATTAATTCACTAGAGGATGCAAAATGCTGGTATTCTAGCTCTTTTGTATTTTTAATTATAGTTTCTAGTTACTCAGAAAAATTGCTACTAAATAAACTAGCTGGAAATATATCCTTTTTCATTGTGTGGAGCATTCATGGATTTTACAGTCTCAACTTTGCAGGTAGCCATGAAAGTCTGTGCAATAAAAGTAGTGATGTGTAGTTTACGGAGACACCTGACTGTAATTGCATTAAAGACATTCCTATATGACAGTGAGTCATTTAGTCGTTTAGCCTGGTAACTGAACCAGCTAACTGTCAGCTCTTCACTGTGTGCATTAAAAAATGGCTTTGTTTCTGTCTCATGGCATTTTCTGTAGAACTTATGCCATAACATAAGTTTTGACAAATTTCATCTCTACCAGATGCAAGGGTAGAACATAGTTTATATTTAAATTGCCATCAGTTGATTAAAAGCAACTTGTGGGGCAATTTAGAATAAACTTGTTTTTTCTTTTTCTGTTTCCTTCTCTCTCAGTCTTTCAGTCCCTACCCCAATAGGTTATTGGTTTGGTTTTCTCCACATTGGGTTAGTATACTGAACTTCCTTGGTTATTTTCAAGCTAACCAAGAAATGTTACCTCAGAAGCCAGGCGTGTAATACTAGCACTTTGGAGGTTGAGGCAGGAGGATCCTGAGTTCAGACTAGCCTGAACTATATAGTGAGACCATGTCTAAAAAAAAGAAGAAAAAAAGCTTAATTTAGACCCTTCTAATGGTTTTCATTTCATAGAGTGAAAGCACTCTAGGGAACTGATAAATCTAGAGGGTAATGCCTTTTATTCCTTTTTCCCTATCTTACATAAAAATTCTCACAAAGGTTTTGGGATTTACTTTTTGTTGTTTTTTGTTTTGTTTTGTTTTGTTTTGTTTTGCTTGTCAAATAGATTTTCTCCTCAAAAAGCGAATCCCGCCTAAAACATCTATTACAACGAGCCCCAGATTATTGTCCAGAAACAATGGTAAGTCTTTCTTAACTATGGAAGCTTTTGTCTAAATTAAACCATCTAATCAGTTACTTTTAGATTTAGAAGATTTTTAAGTATGGTTGGAATTTGTGATCAGAGTAAAATGTTAAACTTAACTTGGCTTTTTAAATTTTTCTTACAAATTGCTACATAGAATATTGCCATTCACCTTTTATCTTCTATTTTAGGATCTAGGTGTATACAGTGTTAGATATAAATGTATTCTAGTCTTTAAATTTCACTGTAATATTTCATCTGGAATTTAGATTTTCTTGAGACAGGGTTTCCCTATAGCCCCAGCTGGCCTTGAACTCACTATGTAGACCAGGCTGGCCTTGAATGCACAGAATGCTGGAATTAAAGGCTTCCTGTCTCTGCCTCCTGAATGCTGGAATTAAAGGCTTAAAGGCCTGTGCCACTAACCCCAGCCAGAATTTAGAATTTTATTATTGTGATTTGACTAATTTTATGAAATCTTTACTAGTAACTAGATTGTATATTTATTTAGATTTTGGAAAGTTGAATTTGAGTTTAGTGATTTCATGGGGTTTTACACTGGTGAACAGCTAACATCACAGCAGGCCACCTATTAATTCACAAGAGAAAACATGTGACTTACTATTCCTAACTTTCCATCTTATGGCATACTGCTATATTGCCTGCTAGTCTGAATCAGAACACTTGATATGTCTTCAGAGATTGGGCTGTGTTTGGAATGCTCATGGGCAGACCAAGAAAGCCTGAGCTTACATGAAGGAACCGCTTAGATATAGTGGCCTCTGTTTTGTGGAAGGGAGAAAAAGTTTGTGGTCAAACAGTTCTGATACAGTTTCCTTATGTTATTGGGCAGACTCTTTTGTCTGTGTGTTTGGAAACAGTGCTTTAATAAATAACCTGAGTAACCAGACTCATTCTTCGTACTTTTAGATGGGAAAATGAACAAAGACTATGCAATGGTTTTATCTCAGCTTAAAAATTTTTTTATATTTATTTTGTGAATGTGTGTGTGCATATGTGTACATGTATGTGTGCACATGCATACACCATGGCACATGTGTGGAGGTCAGAGGACAGTTTGTGGGAGTCAGTTCTCTTCTTCTACCATGTGGGTCTCAGGGATCAAATGCAGGTCATTAGGCTTGGCAACAAGCACCTTTACTCCCTGAGCAACCTCACTGGCTCAGCCTT